ATTATAAGATACGCATCGCGGTGGGTGTTTTTTGCGAGATATGCACCGTACGCGTGTTCTGGTGGTTCCTTCGAGACGAGGGAGGAGCTCTTTCTCTATTTTCCACAAAGTATCGAGAGACGTGCATACATCGAGGGTAGAGAGGTACGTGCGTCAGTGGTGGGCTGGAAGGGCAGCAAAGATATGGATTTTGTTGGACCAATACGAAGCTTTGGTCAACGAAAGCCTTAACTCAGATTCAAGTTAAAGACACAGACTTTTATAATCACATCGAGCATATAGGGATAAACGAACGACTTGTTCTTCGAAATGAGAGAAATTTATTTGTGTCAAAGCGTGTAGGTACAATAAAATAAGTGTCATCCAAATCAAATCTTCGAATAAAACCAAATATCTAAAATGAGAAAGTTTATATTATTCTATGTCCCTGATAATTACACGGCATTTTTTTTTTTTTTTTTCACTTAGAAACGCAGCGTCACATTTGTCGAAAAAAAAAAAAATAAAAAAAATAAAATAAAATACCTCCGCATTTATGCGGTGCAAAACAAAGGTACTACGCGTGATAATCACAATTTCACACGAGAGAGAGAGAGAGAGAATTCTCTCTTTTGATTAAAAATTACTCGCGAGCCAGCGAGTCGGGACGACGTCGTTGGTCCACACCGCACTCGTACATCCTCTCCTCTGCAATAACCGAAAGAGCAATTAGAGCAGTTTTCGAGGTATCTCGTGAAGCAACTACTCGAAAAGAAAATGTAATTTTCTACAACCGCGTCAAAGGATCGTCACGGCAAAAATAAAAAAAATCGTATCTCTGTACACGTATGGAGCCGACGCTTTAAAGAGGTTGTTGAGTATAACATTATTTTTCTATAGCAATATATATATACTTATGTACCTACCTCTCGATATTTAGTTGCAAACAATCGGCGTTCACATTTATTTCAATCAACAAAAAGAAGGTTGGTGTTGCAACGATACAAGTAAACGAAGGATTCAGCTTTATTGGGGAACGTACCGAAAGTAGCACCCCTGTATACATAGTAAGTCTACCCCATCGCCAGGCAATTTTCTCAAAGTCGCGCCAGTGACCTTCACAACGAGGGTTGTAAGTATATCGTGCGAAGCTCGAGTCTTTTCCCCCTACATTTCATTCGATGAGTCACACAGTGCGTGCTCTATACGCTCAAGGAATAATATACATGGGGTGCAGCTCGAGGCTCCCTTACACCGTACACACGCCGTGGCTCTCTATATATCTCCTTTCCCTCAAACACTTGCAATACTCGTACACACGAGCTTATACATCATGTGTATACATCCGTGCAAGCTGCGAAATCTTGGAGCAGCAGAGATGGGGCACGGGGAGCCAGTGGCTCTCAATGTCTAAGCCGGAGCTTCTCGCGCTTACCCGCGGTGATTATTGATTTCGGGCTCCGTGCGATTGCCCCCTGCCAGAAGCGCTTAGCTCTCGCCGAGAGGACTCCTTTTTTCGTTCGGAGCTAATCGCCGTGGATGGAAAATCTCGAATGACTTTTTACCTCCATAACTTTTACTCTTCGTGCAATGAATTTTTTTTTTTTTTAATTGTATACCTTATGGCAGTCACTAACAAACTCGGCAGACCAAAGGGGGCTGGTTATCAAGGTAAACGAAGGGAGAGAGAAAAAAAAAGCTCACAGGCTCGTGGCGGGGAAAACGGGGCGAAAAGTGTTCATTAAATCAACCCTCGCGCGTCGGCTCCATACACTTTGGTGGAAACAAAGAAAATGGGGGAAAGAAAAAGAAAAAAAAAAGGCATCAGCAACACCGCGAGCTGGTGCGAAAGCGCGTGTACGCGCTTCGAACGCCGAAACAAGGGGACGCAGTGGGTGAAACGAGAGAAGCAACATACATATACATACACACGGTCGAACGGGGGGAGGAAAGAGCTTGACTCGCTTTCGCACAATTTCCCAGTCGGGCGCGCTGTATATACGTACAGGAGCGCATTATGGGATACCCACACCGATAGCAAGTGTGCAGGGCGGTGCGTGTATAAGCAAAGATTTCTACCACCCCCGAGTGACTATACCGTGCGATATACGCGTGTAGGGAAAGAGGAAGATGGAAAGTACAGAAGTGATGGGGGAGTGGGAAAAAAAGCTTTTTCCCCAAGCGAACGAGAAGGAAGGCAGCAGATCCGACTGGCCTCGCTTCTGGGGAAAAGGCTTTCGTACACGAGTGCATGGCTCGGACGCGGAAGGAGGGGGGGAAAAAAGAAGGAGCAAACAGCGAAATGTATATAGGCGCGAGATTACGGCTTCGGCGCTGAATGGACGGATTTAACGCAGGTTGCTTTTCGTGATTTATACTACGTGGGTGTAGGTGTACACCCCCCCCCTGCAGGTATACGGTGCTTATATGCTGCTGCAGTAGCCTTATGTGTATATATACGTACGGTCCAGTCATGTGGACGACGTTTTGCCGGACAGCTTTGTTTTTTCTCGCTCGACGATTTGAAAGCTCTGAGCTTTTTAGCCCCCAAAACTTGTTTGTTTTCGTCATCGTGATGGTTTGTTTTGCAAAAGCTCGAAAAAAGGCTCTTTTGTTTAGTATTATTTTGTTTCGAAAAGCGCATACAGCGTCCTTTTCGTCCATTGCACTAGGTATCCTCCCCCTCGATATACACAAATTACATTTCGTACAACGACGACAGACACGTGCGCAAGTATGGGTGTATGGATATGCTCAGTGACTGTGAGCACTCGTGGAGGACGTCGTGCATTGGTTCTCATTTTTTCCGGTCTCATGAGCTGTACCTATGTATATAATATCGAAGTCCCAGCCAATCTGTATCACCCGCGACAGAAGGACAATGGCTTTGCTCTCTTGTTCCACCCACGCTTGTCTCGAAGAAGAAAATTTGTTTACAGCATCGATAAAAGTCACAAGAGATTCGCAGACACTGAACTTGTAAAAAAAAAAAAAACAGGGTAGAGACAGAGGGGCGTAATAAAAATTTTATCGAGGCGATTTTTCATTCCCCATCAGTGCGAGAAGCATCACCTCCGTTGTAATGAAAAATAACTTTCGTGTATGGGGGCGAAGGAAGAAGGGTGGGTTGAAAAAACGGCCCCAAAAAGCGAGAGACAGCAAGTTACGAGCCGCCTCATTTCTGCCGCGTGGTGATGGGGCTTCTCTGTCCCACGAGGGAGCTACCCAACCCACCCCCCTAGGATTTCGGACCGCAACGTAGATCGATGCCATGGCACCCAGACTATAAGTATAAAGCGTCGGACGTGTGTTGCAAAAACAGGGGTAGTGGGGGGGTTCGAGGTGGCCCGAAGGACGAATACATATTTGTACCTAAGAATTTTTTCCAGTCAAATTTTTATGTTCATTTCACCCCAAGTAAACGTCTTAGAAATTCTCTCGAAAATTAAAATTAAAACTTTATCGGTCGCACAATCAAGATGTACGTGATATCTAAATTCATTTTTATCGCAATCATTACGTAAAATCGTGCTATGCCTATAAAATTCTTCTCGCGAGACTTTACGTAACTTACATACAGGCCTATATATATAGTATAAGTATCCCAGCGTCTCGCTACGCGTATTATATTACCCCTCATAAAATCATGCACGTACATTACCCTATATATACACACATAGGGTATTATTACCCTATACATATACACACATCGTTCAGTTGTACAATAATTTTGATGTATACAACGTACAGAGTATAGTACAACGTCTCTCTTGGCTCTAATGAATGGGGCAGGCGTGTACGCTGGCCGGGCCAAACGAATTTTTCAACGCGTATCTTTCTCCACCCTCCTCCCCTTCCTCCTGCTGGCGCTGTTAACTTCAGAAAAAAAAAAAAACTCGAAAAATATATACCCAAGTAGAGGATCCCTGGAATACCAACTAGCAACCGTGAACGGATGAAAGGGTGATATCTCTCGGTGCGCGCCGACCTGCGTGCGTGTGTGTCTGTGCATTATAAATGTGCAACTCGATATTTCTTGCACCGAGGAACGTTTTAAGACTTATTTTATACATTTTTTTTTTTTTTTTTTTTTTTTTTCAACGAAACTGCTGCTTCTTTGGCCTTTGCCGGCTACCGTCCTCTCTCACACGTAAGCTCCTCTTCTCGAGGATGGTATATCCATATCCCGTGTAACAATGCAACTTTTTATACGCTCGGCCTAGCTTGTCGTCGTCTTAGGCCGAACAAAAGTTTTTTTTTTTTGTTTTTTTTTTTTCTCTTTTAAGTGCACATCGCGCACAGTGTGGTGCGAAGTGGGTTTAACCCAAGGGGTTTCCGCACTTTTTTTTTAAAGTGTGGCGTTTTTTTATTTTGCAAGGAAAAATGGATTAATCGATCGCTACCTGTACTTAACTATCGACCAGACGATCGGAGATTGTTGTTTCACGCCTGGATGACTAATTGAAAAAAAAAATTTTTATCGCTTGGCAAAGCCCTGATGCCAAACAGGATGAACTGGACGAGAAGGAAGGAATCGCGTAATTGAAACGTTCGCAGGAAAGTTTCTCGTTAGAGCCAAAGTCGTGCGAGTGTACACATAGCCCGCAGCAAATATACCCCTTCCAAGCATGCAAAGAGCCGTTGAGCCCTTGCGCTGCACGTGATCGCACGCGATAACGAAGCTACACCATAGAAATCAATGGATCGAGGCAGAGCCCAAGCGCGGGTGGTCAGACGACTGCTACTGCGCGTATTTATATACATATACCGTGTGCACACCACCATATACGTATAGGTGCGTACAGAAGCACGAGGGGCTTTGATTGAGCTTTTCCCAAACTCCCGTGTATGAAAACAAGAAAATATGGACCATGCCGGGTAGATGTTGCAAATGAACGAAATTCACTATTTTTCGCCAACATTGAAGAGAAAGAGCATATATAGGTTGCGTATGTATACGTATACATAGAAAAACCGAGTGACACGTGAACTGGACGTTTTATACATCAGCGAGTCCTTACCGAGTTGACGTCGCCGTTGAGCTTGGCATCGCCGTCGAGGATCCTCTGCCTGAGGGCAAGCCTGTCGAGGCTGGCGAGCCTGTAGCTGCCGCCACCCTCGCGGTCCTTGCCCAGCCGCTCGACCGCCGTGGCCCCCGCGGTCCCGTTGCTCCCGGCGTTGAAGCTGGATGTGTACTTGGGCAGGGTCGGCGGTGGCGGCTGCCTCATGGCCGCGGTCGCGCTCCCCTTGTCCATTCGCGTGCTGGCCAGGAGGGAGTTGCTGCTGTACAGGAAGGACGAGTTGGTCGTGGCGCGGGTCGAGGTGAGGGACGATGGATTCACGGAAGCGAGACTCGCCCCTGATGCCACTGCACTTTTGTGCCCGTTGCTCTGTTGCTGCTGCTGTTGCTGTAGTAGCTGTTGGGTGGCGGTGCCGTTTTGCTGTTGCTGCTGGTGGTGGAGGTGGTGGTGGTTCTCCGTCGACGACATTGTCGGGGCGGATGTGGTCCTCGGTTGGCTGGGGTTCGTTTGGGCTGACGGAGGGCTGGAGAACTGTACGTTTAGCTCTGGCTCGCACTGGAGTGCATTGGACTGCGCGAGAGAGAAACAGGGACTATCAGACGAAGGGGGAAAGATTTTTCGGGAACAACTCAAAAGTGCGGAGAAGACCTTTTTTTTTTTTTTTTTTCATTTCGCTTCCAAACATGTTTACTACGTTTATTACTCGTATTTACAAGTATATGAGACTTGGAAACGAGTAATTGACAATTTCTTACTCATGTTAATCACGCAAATGCAAATAAATGTGCAATTTGCATCGGAAAGGGATGATGATGATGAAAACAAATTTATTAATGCCAAGGTTTAATAAACCGTATGGCAATGTAAAAAAATACAAAAGGATTTACAAACATTATTATATAAAACAAGCATAAATATACAATATAACAAGGGAGATAGAGAGAGAGAACTTTGGTTCGCTTTTCTCGTAATATCAAGGGTAAACCTCTTATACGTAGGTACGTGTATTTCGACTTATAAATCAAATTTATTTTAAATAACCAATTTTTTATTTTACAACAACAATAACATTGATTCCAACATTTTTTTGCATCGGTTGGATATGTGAATTTCCAAAGACATCGTATCATGTATACGTGTACATGATGAAAAAACGTAAAAACGACAAAAGTGCATAATCCAAAAAAAAAAAATTAACTACAGAAAGGAAGCCCATACATAAATCTTCATTTACAATCACATCATCGCGAGAGGAGGATGCATTGAGCGCATCTCAATGAGGACGGTGATTTAGACGACTCGAATAATCCTCCTCGAGGCGATGTACCAGAGCGTATATATACACAAAGAGGAGAGGCTGCTGCTGCGGGGTAAAGAAACAAGGAAATAAAAGGCACAGAGCGAGTGGAAGGGATAAGATAAACAGGGGCTCATGATATTGTATACACACCATGGACGCGGAACAAGAGGACAGTGTGCTCGAGGATGATGAATGACAATCGAGATACCCACTCACGTGAACGCACGCGTGGGTGGAGGGATATACGAGGAAGGCGCGGAACGGAGAGAAGAAAGGATTATCCATCGGTGTATGATACCTCCCATGGTCCTCCCTCCCGGATTAATTTTTTTCTTTATTTTTAGCTCGTACGCGTGTTTACGAATATCATTTCATGCGACTAGTGAGTTTGTAATACATGTATATTATATCGGGAGGGAGACCGCGAAACCGAGAAAATCATCGCTGCGACCGCACGCCTCTACCACCACACGGAGCCATAGGTGCAGGAAATCGGATGAGGCGGTTACGTGATGGCCAGAGATTTTTAGAAACTTAGTGGATGAACCTACAATTGGATGTTACGCTGAATCATGTCTTATTCTTAGGTGGTACTGATTGCTCTCTTCTACTTTGTCGTCTACAACATTTTCTTTCCTTCGTAGGAATGCACGTGTTTTGTTGTCCCCCGCTTTGGGTGTACGAAAAAACAATGAAAAATAAAACAATACATCGCGAAACGTTGTATAGAGGTGGGCAAAAACAGAGCAAGTATATCCTCTACTCGGAACGGGCATGAAAACCACTCGGAACTGTCAATTACGAGCAATTTCGTTGCAACAATGTTTGCCCAAAAGCTTAAAAAAACAAAACAAAAGCAACAAATCCCCTAAAAGCACTTAACAAAACTGATGGACGGAAGAGGAGAGAGAGAGAGAGAGAGAGAGAGTGCCAAAAGTGTCAATCATGTCCTCGTTAAAGGTTTCCTCGAGTCGCGGGTTTCTGCGATAACCTACAATCCGCCGCCTCGCACTGGCGCACCGCACCATCGAAAGAGAAACGGAAGAGCGGAGATAATGAACGCTGGCGTTCCTCTGTGATCGATGACGGCCCGCGACTCGAGATAGCGCGACCCCGACGAGAGCCGATCGATATATACTTACACGGCCCATCGGACAAAACGCCGCTTGTAAAGTGTAATTCCGTCTAATGGCCTCCTCCACCTTCTACTTCTGGCTAGTCGTCAGGGGTAATTGTACGGATTCCAGGTAAAGGTGGAGTGTGTATACGTGAACCGCCGGGAGTGCAGTGTCGGTATATATATGTATACCATACATTATACGAGAGAGATGAAACCGTGTTTGAGAAATAATTGGCTTTTGAAAGGAAGGTTTGTGCAAAAGTGCCGGCGATTATCGTGTCGCTTGTGTGGTGTATGTGTGTTTGGTTAAGCTCTGGTCCGCGTGTGGGCGCGGCCGCGTGTATACTTTGACGTGTGCCGATCCGCATGGATTTCGAGTGGCGAAAAATATCAGCCGCAAAATTATTTCATCAAGATTCACGTGCATTCCCATTGGACGAGCTTTTCGCGAAAGACGAATAAAATGGTCAATCCTCCGGAAGGTTTCGTCCTCGAGCTTATCCTCAAAATCGATCATCCTCCCACTCCAGTTTTGGGTCACAGCGCCATTTCGCTCAATTAACTCTCGTACACACATGGTATACAATTAATTTTGAGACCTCGAACAGTGGTTGCAAGCGTACAGAGGATAGCCAAAGTTTTCGCTTCGTTTTTCCGTGCATTTACGTCCGAATTAGTGCCACAGTGGTGTGTTTTGGGCTCGTTCTCGATCCGAATTCGTAGTTTCCAGGGTAACTAAATCATCCAAACTTTTCGTGCTCCTAGTTTGCGCGCAAAACATGTATTTTACCCACTTAGCGACTCTCTGCACTTACTATCACCAAAAGATGAAGTAAAATGACAAAAAATACAATCGCAGCGCGAGAAAATCCCGCTTCAGCCAAGGAGCATCGCGAAAGAGTGGAAAAATTATCCGGCTTCGTTTTTAAAAAATCCCTGCCCGTCTCTAGCGACGCGGAGCGCGTTTGTCGCTCGTCATAAGCACAGTCCCGGAATAATCCCGCAGCTCCTCCGATAAGACGCGAGGGGGGGAGTGCGCTCCGAACAATCAGCTCCTTGATGCACTTTTACGAGAATGAAGTCGCGGCGCGTCGTCATAATTATTTCGACCCCGCACATTTGGATCATATTAATACCTCAGCAATGAACAACAATGGTATACCTATACGTGAAAGGCGGTAGAGAGTACATTGTTCCGCGATGCTGGCTGTTACATAAGTGGTGTACGAATGTGGAAAAGGACAGCAATGTGATAATTAAACTCGTAATTAAAATCTCTCGTTGTTTCTTACGGTAATGAAAAAAGGTTTCTTCTCCTTTATTCGTTCAACGACATTTCACCCGATCGAGGTAGCGAAAAAGAAACAAATTCCACATTGTACGCGGAAAATACGTACATGTTACGATTCTCCAATACTGTGAAGCGTCGTGCGATTAAACACACGTAACCAGCCGGCTGATGGTATTATCAATTTACTTGCACCGTCTGACACGTATGAATTTACGATAAGTATACCGCAGCTCGAGAAACGAAATGACGTATGCTTTTTAATCGCCGAAACGTCATTATTGTATCGAAGTGTGCATTGTATGCACCTGAATCTCTGTCATATACAAAAGTGTAAAAACTATAAATTATATCTGTGGGGAAAAAAAAAACGATTGCGCTATCTGGTGAAATTATCGAGAGCGCGTCCTACCCCTGAGCCTATAGTTTGAATTGAAATTAAAAGCCCAAGCGTTGGCTCGGACAGAAAAAGAGTCCCAAAATGACGCGAGTCTTGGAGAAGTTGAGCTATCGAATTAAAAAAAGTTGAGGAATAATATCAAGCGCTTCCCAGAAACACGAGAATGCCAATGAGGCACGCGGCAAAAGGAATAGAGAGAGGGAGAACGGGGTCCCAAATAAGGCCGCTATGATATAAATATAAAGTAAACCGGTCGCGCGTTGACTGTACGCGCATGCAAAATCCGCTCCTCGGCACGATCGTTAAGGGGGGAAGAGATAGATAGCGTTGTGTAAAGCCATAGTTGAAAACCCATTGTGGCTCGCCCCTCCTCTCGCGGGCGTTTGTTTTCTAACCCAACGTAGGTATAACATACGTGCACCACCCCCGACTTCTGCCTGCTATGCTTCGATTTCTGCAAGCGTACATGCGTGTATGTGTATATATATATATATGCGTGCACGCAAGCCACCGTTGCTTGCGGCTGGACGTGCGTGCGTTGCAGCCAGGGAAACCGGTCGCCCTCGCTTCCCCTTTCTTCTTCGTCTTTTTTCTTTTTCTTTTTCTTCTTCTTCTTCGTCTGGTTTCTCGTTTTTCAGCCTATACCTCAGCAGCCTCTTGCCTTCGCGCGCGTAGTGGTTTCGTTTGTTTACGAGCACGCGCTCTTTCCCTACTGTCTCTCTTCTCAAAATTTCAGCAAAACGGCACGCACCAACCGAAACGGTCCGCAGTTCGAGTTTTACCCCACGTACAATTGTTTTTTTTTTTCTCTCTTAACTTCGATTCCTAAAAGTAGGATATTTTAGGAAAACTCCCCGGTTTTCCTTCGTTTGGCTTCTTGTTCGGCTGAAATTGAAACATTTGATTGACGCACAAACCAACTACAGCTACACTGATCGGGTGCCCTGTACTATCGGACACTATTTAATAATGGATACACGCGTGTTTTAATCAATCGTATACGATATCTGATACGTACATTTTATATAACGCGGCTGCAATTTAGCGCGTGAAATTAATCTCGACATGAGAGCAAAGCACGGCTTCCGTACAAATTGATTGATCGAAAAGTACGTGGGTATATGGATTTATAAATCTGAGTCTGTGAAACCCCAAAATGTCAAAACGCAAAAATCAATCGAAATATACGTTGATGAACTTGTAATGAATTCCACGGGGGGGAAAGGATCGACAGCGGTGTTATATCCATGATATGCGACGATGGGATGTTTTTCACCCATATACCCACGCAACAGCGAACCAGTTCGTATCGTCCGGCAATGCTCACCCTCTCTTTAACCGTATAGGTAATATTATATAGGTACGCATGTGTGGTCTCCTGGATGAAGCTCGTGTGTGTTTATCGCGCATCTTTGCCGATCTTATCTCCCTCGATATGAGCACGGGGCTTTTTCCAAGTTTTTCGCGCCACCGGAACATAATACTGCATCGGTGAGTTTCGACGTGTGCTTGGGCACGCATGTCTTTACGCAGAGTAACAAAAAAAAAGAAGGTTTTTTTTTCCATTTACAGCTAAGTAATAAATAACCTCATGATGATGTACATCGGTGGGTACAAGAAAAACTTCGTAGCGTACTTACGCGCACATGCGATATTCAATGAAAAAAAAAAAAAAGAATCGGCGCCGGTATCCACGAGGTGAAAGTCAAATCCGAGACTATCCGCTTGTAACTTATATACTCGTCTCTCTCTCTCTCTCTTTCCCTCCACATGATTGTATACCCGCTCGAGTGCGCTCGCAAGAGTCTCGAGCGCAGAACTCGGGGCGGACTCGAATTTCGGCGTGGGTACCTTGTACAACGAGATGTACATATGTGCCACGTGTATGAGAGTCCCGAGAAAGCGAAAGGCCTGACGGGGTCCTTCGTTTGACGCGAGATGCGTGTAAGGTGAACATCTTTTTTACTCTCCTTTAACAAACGTGTAGGCGGCTGGGGTGACGTGACGGGCGAAAATTCAAGAAAACGACGCCTTGAGTGGCAGCCTCGTTAACCGAGCTCTGGGATGAATCGCCTGGTACTCGAGGTGGATGGAGAATTGTTCTATCGGTCCCTAATAATGATTCTATTTTTTTTCCGCACATTTTCATCGTGTAACCAATGTTATTGTTGTTGTAATTGTTTTCTTTTTTTCTTCTCCTACGTTTAGTGTATACAACACGTACGATAAAACGTTATCAATTCACGAGGCGAATCGAACAATAACAATTAGCAGTGATACAAGCTGCTACTAAGATTCAATTGTCCAACGGGAGGTTAATTGCACACCATCAATAATTGATATGTCAAGATGCGAGGCAACGCGCCAAGCTCACGATTAATCATCGCCGCCTCTTTTTTTTTGTTTGCTTTGACATTTCGCTGATACCATTTTTTGTCTCGAATGCGAAATAAATCTTTTGTTTTTCTTCGTTGATTATTGTACAAATTAATTGCACGCACAGTAGCAGCACACAACATAATTATATAAGCCGAAATAACGTACACAGTATAAGAAATTGTTCGTTCTTCCTACCTCCCCCTTTTCATTCGGAGCAGACACGCTGCTGTATAACCCAAGGCAAGGTTAGGTGGTTGGCTCCTCTCCGCACTTTTTTTTTATCATCAATTGCTCGACAACGGGGGATGGGGTTGAAAGTGATGATAAAACAAAATCCACGCTTATACGTACCAAAATGATCGATATCCTGGATCCCGGGCCAAAAAGCTACCACAACCGTGTATGATATTATATTGTACCACTAATCACAGTGGCATCGCCGGGTTGAAATTATAGTGCTTATGTATCAAACACCAAAGACACAAGAAAGCCCACGCCGTTCTCGTGCGATGCTCTGGTGTATACTACATAGACACACGTAGACACAAACACGCTCAAGATAAGTAACACAGAGAAAAGCTCCACTCGAGCCCTTCTCATCCCCCCCCCCCCCGTACAGCAGCCAATTCTTCTCCCGCTCGGCTCCTCTTCTCTTGGGAGATCTCTTTCTTCTCTTTCAACGGCAGAGAAGCGGTATACACACACGTACAGTACACTTGTAGGCAGATCGGGCTGTACGAGTCCTATATATACTTATTAGTTGGCACGTCACGCACTACGATAAAAGTATCGCTCACGACGGTGTTGAGGAGGAGGGAAACAAAAAATTAAGAAAAAAATATCGTTTTCGTTGCCATTTAACGATTTAAAGGAAAAATGATTCACGTTTCATGAATATAAATTAAAAAAAAAAAAAACGAAGAAAAAAAAATGACGCGCTTATGCCAGGGCACGCACTCGCGCACCGAAATAATACCCGATCGTTTTTCAACAGTCGCTTGGGCGTAAGAAGCTGCACCACACTCTGCCGACTAAATAACACTCAAGGGTTTTTCTTTGTTTTATTCCTTCACGGCTGAAGCCGATGGGCGTCATCGGACCGGCCGAAAAGCCGGACCGCACGATTCTCTCCCTCTACCGGTGCCCATTTTTTACCTATGTACTATGCGTATCTATATATTATACTCGCTTGCACTTTCACAACGCGCCACCGACTCTCCCTTTTTTAGCCGATTATGCGTGTATATATATGATATACACACGGCACGCGTCTAACGCGCGGCGGTTTATCGGAGCCGCTCCGAAATTAAGTACTATCGCACGATAACAGGAGTGATTCAACCACCCGCGCAAAGAGACACGTACATGTATAAATACACAGAGGGATACTTTGTTAGCGCGAGGGAGAGAGATGATGACTTTGGGGCTGCAGGGAAGCTGTTGCGCCAGAGACGCGCACCGGAGCACTCGTAGGGCCGGACTGACGACCGGTGTGTGCCGTGGTAGCGCGCGGAGCGATGTGTGTGCTCCGCGGAAGAGAGATAGAGGGAAAAAAAAGCTCCGTCTCTGTCGGGTGGAGGAGCGCTCGACTCTCTCTCTCTCTTTTGCTCCTTCCCCGAGCGAGAGAGCGGCACCGACGACCACGCCTGACGCAGCTGCAGACGCTGCTGTTGCCTCTCTCGGGTGGGGATGTTGGTTGATGTGTATATGTGTATATGTATACACGAGGGGATATATGTATATTTATATATATATATATTATGTGGGTGTGGGTGTGAAGCACCACCACTGGCCCCGGACTCCGTGTGGAGTATTACAGCTTAAAGCTGCCTTCACAACTATACATGGGCACTCAAAGGGGTATTTCATATATCCACGAGCATGAGGGGGTGCAGTGGTTTTCGTTAAAATGCAAGAGGGATATTAATTGGCTCGAGGAACATTATTTTTGCTATGACGCATCATTTTCAGGCAGGATTTTTTTTTTTTTTTATTTATTTGTGACAAATAGAAGTGGAAAGACACGCTGTAATAAGCCATTACGAATTTGGTGGATAAGTCTTTCTAAAATTTAATGCGTTTCCACAGCTGCACGATTCTAATTGAAGAAAAGTTTTCATCTCACTCTCGTTTTCTTGATCCATTTTTTTTTTTTTTTTTTTTTTCATTTCCTTACATGTTACGTAAATAATGGCCCCGGACTCGCATACAGGGGGCAGTCTTTACCAGAGGATTAGTAACCACGGAGCCTCGAGAATTTACTCAGATTACTCCAGGCAGCAAAAAAAATCTACAAAAATGATATTTTTAACCTGGAGCACCAAAGGGAAGACTTTATCCGTACAATATAATCTTATAAGCTTCAATGTTGGCCTTTTGTAACCGTGATGAGCTCAAGTACAATTAACACGGCGACGCTCCTTCGCTGAATTCTAGGGATTTCATCTGACGTTTGGTCGCAATTGCATGGCTCCCTCGGACAACGGGGGTCCTTGTGCGGCATTTCTCTCGCCATAAAAGTCCCACGTGGTAAGCGGACGCCAACTCTCTGATGCGCCGCGGCGATCGATACTCGTGTAAAGAGCTTTTTTGGACTGCTTTTGTTCAAATTGCAATAAACACATCTACACGCGTAATATTATAGAGCTTGACGTTTTGTACGTTGAGCTCTATTGCTGTTTGCGGGTTACGTGCACACGAGAGACGAAGAAAAAGCAACGAAGCCATTTGCCGGGACATCTATAGGTCATTTGGTGCGTGCGCGTATATTTTTCGTTTCACAGGAGGGGTGCTGATTTATACATTTACAGAACCACTGCACACACCCTGTCCATAGTGCACGTACACACGGAGCTTTCTGCGCATACGTTGAGGTACAAATAACACATCACGAGAGTCTATGTAGACTTTGTCGCACAACACCTTGTACCGCTGTGGATGGACTAAAGGCGAATTGTTCAAAGCCGAGCAGACGAGAGACCATGTCTAAGTACAGGGGAGGGTGGAGCGAGATAATTAATAGCACGGCGGTGGTCGCCGCTTGTTACTGCCCGTATATATATATATATATATACACACACGGATTTTTCGACCCCAGTTGTGCGAATTTCGGGGGAATTATTACCACGCGGGGGTTTATAGCGTTTGTTTTGTCGTTCCTTTGTTTGGACGGGTCAGGAAGGGCTTTTTTTTATTATTACTTTGGGCTGCGTTGTACTCATCTTGTATAGGCTCTTTTGCACCGATGATTTTACGCGCACGTAATTGATGGCCTTTTTAGCTCTGAGCTTCGTGGAATGTTACACCTTTTGTGGGACGCACGCGCATAAAAGTTGAGCTCGCGGGACGAGCTTGGGTTACAATTATTTCTGAAATTGGCACAACGAATAACGCTAAACTGCACCGCGTTTGTCTACGGCGCTCGCGTTTTTTGCCTCGTAAAAATGAAGTATACGCACCGTGTGTTTTTTTTTTTTTTTTTTTTACAAAACCTCTGCAATATCTTTAGCGCGAAAACACAGTCGTAATTTACTTGCCAAAGTTCAACCGAACTGATTACATAGGGCGTAATAACGAGCGCTAACAAAAGGGAAAAAAATAAAGATAGACCCCAAGTGCTAATACAGAGCTCGGGTGCATGTGTATACTTACAACTATGTACGGTTGTACTTTGGCGCAAACGGCGATACAACACCCGTTATTGTTAATTAACACAATACCAGGCACATATATATGTGTGAGCTTCTTCTTCGTCGTGACGTAATTGCCGTTTGGTGCGACCGCCGATACATCCGTGCTCGTGCATAAGTTAATTATACGCACCTCCACTATAATAGGTACCACCACCACCACCATGCACCGCTACAAATAAGGAGCTGTGTATGCAATAATATATATACGATTCTCGATGGATCCCTCCAATACGTGCACGATACTCCCGAACGGGGCAGAGGGAAGGCTTTCTTTTCGTTTCTCTGCCACGACTTGTTGCTCGGTTTTTTTGCACCGCAGTTCCAAAAATAAATCCAAACCTCGCGTCAGTCTAAACACGTGCATGTATACTTACACACGAGTGTTTATTCCTTCCTTTTTTTTTTTTTTTTATTTCATTCCGAGTCCGCTCTCTGCGCCAACTCTTTCGACTTTATCGCACAAGGTAGTGCGGTATACATGGTAGCCTCAGGTAGACACGCTCGGCTTTGGAAATTGCATCGAGAAACATTGGGGAACGCGTATACTGCACAGCTGCGTGGGGAGGGTGATGAAAAAAAAAAAAAAAAAAAAAAAAACTGTGAGAAGGGAAAGTTTGAGTTACGNTTTTTTTTTAGCATTATGATGGTCAAGACATCATCAACTTATTATTTAGGACAAAATTCAACATCAAGGTCTAAAGATCGATCAACAGAAGAATAAAAACAAAAAAAAGAGAAAGGTATCTTTTGATATTTTCTTGTTTTTTCAATTGTACTCGCTTATACTGTAACATCACTTTTAAACTCAAAAATTTTATCACAGAGCAGATGCCAGTATTATTTAAAGATGTCTTTGACCAATTGTGCAAAAATTTTATCCCGCTGCCACCAACAGTCTCACCAATTCAATCAGATGGTCCTTTATGGTGGTTCTTTGATGAAGAGAAAGACGATGAATTACTATAACAAAATCAAACACCATCAGAAGAAAAATCAGAAGTGCAAGCAATAAAAAAAGATGTCCCTCACATGCAACTTACAATACAAGAAAAAGAAGTAAAAGATATACCACTACCATCTATCCTGGAGCGAGTGGATGGAGCTGTACAAGCAACAACCGCCATCTCCTCCATCATCAACACAACCATTACCACCAGTTCTGACACTACCATCACCATTTAAAGAATCACTGCCACTACCATTATCACCAACACTACCACCAACACATTAGCAGCAGCAGCAGCAGTCACCATTATCAATTTTACCGCTGCCAGAGAATATTGAGGAATGGACAGAAGATGATAAAAAAAACTCAATATGAGATTCCAAGTCTTGCTAAGGTAGCAGGAGTTAAAAATAAGGGCAGGTGAAAAAAAAAAAAAAAAAAAACTGTGAGACGGGAAAGTTTGAGTTACGCAAATCCTCCTCGAGAACTTTGTAAATGTCTGAGGAGTAAAAGTCATTGAAAATTTGTTTCGTGCCCGTGCGCGCGATGGATTTTCCAAATGTTCCTCTCCGGGAGAGGCTAGTCGGGAGGGGGCTTGAAATTTAATATTTTTTAAGTCGAATCGAGTGAGAAATCAATTGAACTTTGCGCGTCTTTGCGAGTACCTACAAATACTTTTGATTTTCATACAACTTTGCAAGGACAAATGCAATGTAAACGTACGTTTTTCGGGAGACATCGATTTTATTTATACTAATACCGTACGTGCATGGGAAGAAAATCCTCGAGTGATATTATTTACAAAGTTTATGGATGAGCTTTTTTAATTTTTTTTTCCTTTTTCAGCTTCACCCGGATAATCTCCATACGGTCTCAAAATTATGTGTACGCCAAACAGAATTCTCAGTGACAATAGTTTGATTTCCCGACTCGAGTATACGCTCGAGTG